TATTTTTGTAGTAAAATAAATACTTAACTACTGAGTGGGATAAATACAGACTATAAATAGCCTCATGTCAGTTGAGGTTGTTTTGCCACCAGATAAATTTAGGAAGCTCTAATAATTTGGGAAAAAGGACCTTGGTATGTAGAGATTGTCAGAATGTGGCATCCTGTGCGACTTTTTAGCACAACGAGGCTGACACTCCTCTGGAAGGAGCCTGCCCCCTGCCCCTCTGTCCCACCTCCCAGCAGGTCCTGCCATGGTGGGTGGGGGGACCATACCTTAGGTCCTCGCCTTGCTCTGTGCACATGTACTGCAACTGGCCCGGCAGGCTGGCCACCAAGGCTTTGAGCTGCACGGTTTCCAGGGCCTCCCAGATGGCTTCATCCATGTGCTCCTGTAACAGGTCGAGGTTCATCCTCAGAGAGCCGGGGAACAGGATGGGGTCCTGGATGAGAGGGGCAGCATGTCAGAGTCAGGGTCTGCTGTACCTCCCACCTCTGCCCACCACCCCCCAGCAGCCTCACCTGGGGGATGATGGTGATTCTGGACCGGAGTGTGTGCAGCCCCACGTTGGCAGTGAGGACCCCATCAATCCAGACTTCCCCCTCAGCGGCCTCCTGGAGCCGCAGTAGGCCCCCGGCCAGGGAGGACTTCCCGGCCCCGGTCCTGCCAACAATGCCCACCTGCCAGGTGACAGGAGGGCAAGAACGGCTCTGACCAGGCCTGCCAGAGGAAGCCAGGCGGGCCACAGCCCAAAAGGGGTTGTGGGTATCTATTTGGGAGACGTTTCCCCTGTATTCGTGATCTGTCCATCCATTACTCTGTGAACACTCATCCTTTTCATCTGCCCACACTTACATTTTTGTATTTTTCTTTTTTGAGACAGAGTGTCACTACATCACCCTCAGTAGAGTGCTGTGGTGTCACAGCTCACAGCAACCTCAAACTCTTGGGCTTAAGCGATTCTCTTGCCTCACCTCCCAAGTAGCTGGGACTACAGGCGCCCCCCACAACCACCGGCTATTTTTCTGTTGCAGTTGTCCTTGTTGTTTAGCAGGCCCAGGCCAGGTTTGAACCCGCCAGCCTTGTTGTATGTGGCTGGAGCCATAACCACTGAGCTATGGGCACCGATCCTAAACTAAATTTTAATACAGAGCAATGAACAATCACTCTCTGATCAAGCTCTGGATCTGAAGCAATGGAAGGAAGCAAAGAAGGTGCTGTTCATGCTACCTGGGATGGGATTTGACAGGTGTAATCAGAGAAGACTTCATGGAGGAGGGGATACTTGAGTGGAGTCTTGAAGGACGAGCAGGAGTTCAGGGAAGATGACATGTGGTAAACCACATCGCACGTGTTTACAAGACAGAAACCCATTGAGCTTACAGCATCTTGTGTCTGCCCGGTGCCCACAGACAGCTGCTGTACAAACATTGGCTAAACCCTGCAGAGCTGGGGAGGTGGGCAGGGCCTTGACTGGCAAGCTCAGGAATTCAGACTTTACCTAGAGGGAAGCTGAGAGCTGGTAGGTTATGAGCAAGAGAATGAAGTGCTGTGTCACTCATGCTGATAAAGATCACAGGGGAACAGACAGGAGGTAGCCAGGCACATTCTGTTGGGAGCCTGGAGGGGAGACAGTGAGGGTGACAGGAGAAGTGTCTGTAGGGAGGGAGGGAAGAGAAGGATTTGGTGCAGGCGCCTGGCTAAGCATCTGTAAAATGGGATAATACTAGCACTTCCTCACAGGATTGTCGTGGCAGTTAAAAATGAAAATAATAATAAGAGCATCAATAGGCTTTTTCTGTAGTACTTGCTAAGAGCCAATGATTTTTTATGTATTAACTCAAATGTCACAACGACTTATGAGGCTGACATTCCCATTTTACAGATGGGAAAACTGGGACTGAGACATAAGTGACATGAACTCATCCATGTAAACTGGGTAACAAATTTGGAACATTTAACACTCTGTCAATGTCAGAAGAAGAAGAAAGTTGGGGACTGGACTCCTTATCTAGGGATACCACTTCCTGAGTGGTCACCACATGGAACCAGGTTTGGGGAAGATGAGGAATCCAGTTTAGGGTGTGGGGGACCCAAACACTTGGGGACATGACGGGGGGGGGGGTCTTAGGGCGTGGCTGGTGCTCAGGGCCGGGCCCTAGGTCCTGCCCTCCATGGAGATGTTGTGGGAGAACTGCTCACCTTCTCTCCTGCATGGATCTTGAAGGACACGTCTCGTATGGCCAGCGGGAGCTCAGGTCGGTATCTGAGCCCAAAGCCCCGGAACTCAATCTCCCCGCCATGAGGCCAGACGGGCTGAGCTGCACAGGAGGGCAGCCTCCAGGGGGCCTGGAGCAGGAGACGACGCTGGGTCAGAGCCCTTTCCTCCAAGGCTTCTCACAAGCTGGCCCACCTCTCTGCACCTCAATTTCCTCTTCTGCAAAATCGGCGTGTTTATTGCTATTATGCAGGGGTTTTATGGGCATTAAGATAGAGCATGGGAGACAGTGGTGTTGAAAACAAATATCTGGTATGGTAAAAATAACGGCAGTGTTAACCACCTTTAATCTTTTATTATCATTAGCCACTGTCTATTGTCATAATAGTCTCTTTTCCTGTCAGGGAAAAAACCACTCCCATGCTTGTTGTGAAGGGGACAGGACTGTGCGTTGCAGAGGGGAGATCAATGCTGCTGTTTCCTGCTCCTGTGACCTTAAACAGATCATTCCATGCCCTTGAGCCTTGGTTTCCTAATCTGTGCAATGGGGCTAATGAGAACAGTAGGTGTATACTAAGTGGTCACAGTGGGCCAGACACTGTGCCAAGTCCACTATTGTAGGTTCTCATTTGATCCTCCCAGTAAACCCAGGATGTTACATTACTGTCACCTTGCTACGTTGCTGACCCATTTCTATGTTACTATCACGTTGCTGGAATGATGCTGCCAAGTTACTATGGTATTACTGCTGTGTGGCTGTTCTGTTACCATAATGTTGTGGCTACGGCTGCACTGCTCTTGCGTTGCTGTTCCTCTTGGTCCCCTGTCGCTTGATAGGTGACCTGACTTGAAGCTAGGAAGTAAAGGAACCAGGATTTGACCTGGCACCAGACCCTATGCTCTTAACCGTTGTGGCTGTGACCCTGCCCCGCGGTGGCACTGGCTGAGTGGCAGGAGAAGAGAGTAGACTCTAAAGCCCATAGCAGATGTGAACCTGGGTGCACTGTCCTCTCCACATCCCTTCTGGGGCACAGGCCCTGCTGAACCACCACCTCCACCCCCCTAATAACCTCCTTGGGCGTCCGGGCATAGTCCTTCATCCGCTCCACTGACACGATGCTGCCCTCCAGGTCCGTCCAGCTGCGAACAGCCCACTGCAGCGTCTGGGTCACCTGTTATAAGACGACAGCTCAGGCTGGGTTCCGCAAGGCTGTGTCAGGCTCTTAGGCAGAGGCTGGGAGTAAAGATGCAGGGATGGGCCAGCCTGGGGGCCAGGCCCGGGGTAGGGGGGAGCAACTTGGCTGCTGCCCATGAGATTGCTTCCTTCCTTCCGCAGAACCAGAGTATGCAGACTAGAAAGGAGGCCCCGGACACCAGCTTTCCAAACTGTCCGGATACTGGTGGGGAGACAGGACCAGACAGCATGTGTGGCCCTCCCAAGGACACTCAGCAGGTCCCCGGCCTGCCGATTATACTTTGACAGCTTCCCCAGAGGGCCCAAGTCTCAACCAACTTCCCATCACACTGGGAACTGCTCTGCGCTTCTCAGCAGGGCCTGTGAGCCACGAGTCCTCTCCCCGCTTGACTGCCTTCTTAGTGTTCCTCTAACACCGGGGGTGGCCCCGCTGCCCCCACGGCCTTTCCTCCTGCTGTTTCCTCACTCCCCCAGGCCATAGCTCCTAGTCACCTTACCAGAGAGGCCTTCTCAGATGTGGGATAAAAACATTCCCCTCCCCCAGTGTGTTCCATCCTCTTACTCTTGAAGTTGGTGCCTCAACTGTAAAATGAGGATATTAGCAGCCTCCCTGATGGGGTCATGGGCAGGGTTAAGTGAGTTAATATTTATCAAGCTCTAAGAACCCTGTCTCCTTAACAAATGCTACTTAAAATGTTTTTATTTTTTTTTATGGACGTCATGACCTGCCATTACATATTGTTATTAATACTTAACAAAAAGTTAACGATGCACTGAAATGCACTTTGCAGCACATACTTTATCCTGGACAGTCTTTATATCATCAGAAGTGAGGGGATTACTGACCCACTTTCAGGCGAGCATGAGACTCTAAGAGGGAAGACTTGTGCCCCAAGTCCAGCAAGGTCGCCTCAGCTAAATCCAGCCCATTTAGAGCTGTGTTTCTCTCACTGCCCGGCACTTTGGACTCAGGGTCTTTGACGGTCCCACTGGCAGGAGCCTGTCCATCTCTGGTTCTGCCCGCCCAGGTTGGGGGTGTTGGAAATACCTGGAGGGCAGCAGAGACAGAGAAGCCCACGAGGCCGGCACTGAGATGGGCCTTGCTCAGCACGGCACAGATGGCAGCCACGAACACCAGGCTGTTCCCCAGGAGCTCCATATTGGCAGCGAGCCACCTGCCGGGGAGGTAGGAAACAGTGGGGTCGGAGGGCGCCACCATCTGCCTCTCCGGGCCAAACACTCATTGCTGTGCCAGCTGCATGTCCCTGGGAGTCCCAGCAATGGCCTCCCACCCCAGGCACCACCCAAGCTGGAGAGGAAGGTGACACCGTCCGGTGTTGCCTGAGCCCAGCTAAGGCCTGGCACAGTCTTGGTGCTTGGTGGAGCTTTACTCTGCTGCTGCTTTGCTGCCTCTGGAATGTGCCGAGCCATGTTCCCCGTGCAGTTCTCCTGTCCTCAACCCTGACCTCGGTCTTCACATGGCCAAGATTTTCATGCACAAGTCAGCTCACACATCACTTCCTCAGAGAACCTTCCCTGACGGCATCTCCCTTTTCTGATGAGATTCTCCTCAGTAGTTATTTCTCTATGACTAAACTGTGTGTTTAATCAGTTGTTGATTAGTCTCTATCCATAAATCAGGAGCTCCATGAGAGCAGCGACTATGTCTGTTTCATTCACAGCTTGATCTCCAGTACTTAGTATAGGACCCAGCACATAGTAGGTGCTCAACTAACATACCTTGCATGGATGAGTGCATGGGTACCCCTCTTATTGATTTCCTACTCTGCCATTCACTCAACAGATATGTACTGAATACCTACTATATGTCAAGGATGTTTAGGATTCTGGGGATGTGGTTGTAAATTAAACAGACAAAAAATTATTATCCTCAGGGAAGCCTGAGCGCTCCTACATATAAAATCTAATCCTCCTGACACAAGGGCAGGGGGGTATGTTGTTCCCATTTAGCTGATGAAGAAGCCAAGGCTCAGAGGGTTAGGTACTTAGGTCCACGCATGTAACAAACACTGGGACTTGAAGCCACCGCTACCTGAATGACAGAAATACACACCCTTCCCAACAGGTAGTGTCTCTCAGGGAGCCAACTAATGAACAAATAAATCAACAAAGACCCACCTAGGTTCTACCACTCCCTGGCTGGCTAACCTCGGAGAGTTTCTTCACTTCTTTAAATCCATCCGTATAATGAAATAGTAATAATATCTGGAGAATTCCAGATGAGAATATATGAAATGCACCATGTATAGTATGGAAATTACTAAACTTTACACACACTAGGTGCTATTTGTTTATTTATTTATATATAAATGAAGAGACAGAGTCTCACTTGGTCGCCCTCTGTAAAGTGCCATGCTGTCACAGCTCACAGCAACCTCCAACTCTTGGGCTTAAGTGATTCTCTTGCCTCAGCCTCCCAAGTAGCTGGGACTACAGGTGCCCACCACAATGCCCGGCTATTTTTTGGTTGCAGTTGTCATTGTTGTTTGGCAGGCCCAGGCTGTGTTTGAACCTGCCAGCTCTGGTGTATGTAGCTGGTGCCCTAGCCGCTGAGCCACACTAGGTGCTTTTTAAATGTTCATAAAGTTCCTCCTCCCTGGGCCAGGGCAGCTGGAAGGGGAAAGGTCAGTCTCCCAAGGGCATGTGAAATTAAGACACCACCCATACCTTTACGGCTCTGATAGCCCCAGCTGGTGGAGCCTGGGCAGAAAGGAACTCATGTTTATTATCTACTGTGAAGATAATAGTTCCATGAGAAAGGAACTCATGTTTTTTATCTACTGTTTATATCTCTACTGAGATATAAACTTATGTTTATTATCTACTGCTTGATCCTATCCATATAGCATGAAACTGCCTGGAATCAAATCCTGGCTCCCCACACATTATCTATGTGACCTTGGACAAGTTCCCAAACCTTTCTGAGCCTAAGATTTATCATCTATAAAACAGTCTCCGGGCCAGGTGTGATGGCTTGCACCCTGTGATCCTAGTACTCTGGGAGGCCCAAGTGGAAGGATCCCTTGAGCTCAGAAAGTTGAGACCAACCTGAGCAAAGTAAGACCTGTGTCTACTAAAAATAGAGAAAAAAAAAAGCTAAGAGTGGTGGTGGTACTCTTAGCTATTTGAAGTAGTTCAAGCTATTTGGGAAGCTGAGGCAGGAGGATCACTTGAGCCTAGGAGTTTGAGGTTCCAGGGAGCTAGCCTGAGGCCCTGGCACTCTAATCCCAGTGACAAAGCAAGACTCTGTCTCAACAACAACAATAGCAAAAACAGCCTCTTCCCTGTGGGGGTTAACAGAATTAAATAAATTAATCCAGCTAGATTGCCCAGAACAGCGATGGGCATATAAAAAGCCTGTTACAAGTCCTAACTATGAGTAGGACTCTATTTTTAATCCTCATAGCCATTCCTCATCCGTCAGGGTGATCAGGTTGATGAATGTGGCTCAGAGAGGTTGTATAACTTGCCAGAGAACAGTCAGCAAGTAAACAGCAGAGCTGGGACTCGAGCCTGTTTCTGTCTGAGCTCCAAGTTAACGTTGCTGTTCTTGCTTAGTACTAAAGGGAGGCTGAGGATGCTCACATAGCTGCTTTATCACCAAGGCAACAGAAGCTTCTTCCGGTACCTCCTGCTCACTGGCTGGGACATCTCAGGCCAGGCTCTATCTGCCCCCAGTGAAGGCCAAGACTGTCTGTGGGTGTGTAGCCTCAGCTACATCCTGACTGGCTAGAGGGCTTAGACAGGCCACTTGACCTCGCTAGTCATACGGTAGAAAGTTGGGTCTCATCCTCTGAAGACACAGACGGATTATAAGGTCATCTCTGCCCCCAGCCTCTTCCTACCTGTCAGCCACCAGTCGTGGAAAACTGACCCTCTGGCTTTCATCCACGTGAGCATTGTTCTGATCCACAAAGGGGCCCTGGGCTCGGAATGCCCTGACCACTGCACTGCCCTGGAAGGTCTCTGCCATGTGGGAGCACACAGATGAGTAGCTGGCTGACTCCAGGCGTTTCAGCTGGCACGAGCTGGCCACATACAGGCTCTGAGGCAGGATGCATGGGAGAGGGGAGGGAGAAGCTATAGGCACAGAGAGGTAGTTTACAGAAGCACAGGGAGCCCCATGTACAGAATTCCAAACTCGCTTTGGTTACCAGCTTGCTGTGTGACCTTCAGTCAGTTGCTTGCCTTCTCTGGGCTCCCATTTCCTTACAGAATCAGAATCCTATAGTTCTTTTAAAAATCACCTTCTAGGCTAGGCACAGTGGCTCACACCTGTAATCCTACCACTCTGGGTGGACTGTTTGAGGTCACAAGTTTGTGACCAGCCTGAGCAAAAGCGAGACCCTATTTCTACCAAAAATATAAAAACTGAGGCAAGAGGGTGGCTTGAGCCCAAGTTGGAGGTTGCTGTGAGTTATGACATCATGGCAGTCTACCCAGGGCAATAGCTTGAGACTCTGTCTCAAAAAAAAAAAAAAAAATCACCTAAGACCTTCGATGCCACACCCTGAAACTACTGAACCAATATCTCCGGTGATGTCACCATGGCTTTGGTATCTTTTTAAAAGCCTTCTATGTGAACCTAACTTTATAAAATATTTATAAAACATTCTGTATGTGTTGGCTACCTCTTTGTAATATTCTATAATGAATAGTTGTAAGTTAAAGTACATTTTCCTACAATTTGCAATATTCCCTACCTACGGTGACTTTAGGGGTAACTCTGGGAACACCCCATACTCTCTGAGGTCTTTCCAAACAACTAGAGAAGCATCTGTGGCAGGATAAAGTGTTAGATATTAAGAACTTTGATATGGACATTTAGAGACAGTCTAGAGTAGATATTAGAATCAGACGGGGTGGCTCGGCGCCTGTGGCTCAAGTGACTAAGGCGCCAGCCACATACACCTAAGGTGGCGGGTTTGAATCCCTAGCCCGGGCCCGCCAAACAACAATGATGGCTGCAACCAAAAGATAGCCAGGCGTTGTGGCGGGCGCCTGTA